GTGTGTGTGTGTGGGTGTAACAGAGCATGTGTGTGTGCGTGTGTGGGTGTAACACACATGTAGTGTGTGTGTGTGTGTGGGTGTAACACACATGTGTGTGTGCGTGTGTGGGTGTAACACACATGTAGTGTGTGTGTGTGTGTGGGTGTAACACACATGTAGTGTGCGTGTGTGGGTGTAACACACATGTAGTGTGTGTGTGTGTGTGTGGGTGTAACACATATGTAGTGTGCGTGTGTGTGTGTAACACACATGTAGTGTGCGTGTGTGTGTGTGGGTGTGGGTGTAACACATATGTAGGGTGCGTGTGTGGGTGTAACACACATGTAGTGTGCGTGCGTGTGCGGGTGTAACACACATGTAGCGTGCGTGTGTGTGTGTAACGTACATGTGGTGTGCGTGTGTGTGTGTAACACACATGTAGTGTGCGTGTGTGTGTGTGGGTGTGGGTGTAACACATATGTAGTGTGCGTGCGTGTGTGTGTGTGGGTTTAACATACATGTAGTGTGCGTGTGTGGGTGTAACACATATGTAGTGTGCGTGTATGGGTGTAACACACATGTAGTGTGCGTGTGTGTATGGGCGTAACACGTATGTAGTGTGCGTGTGTGTTGGTGTAACACACATGTAGTGTGTGTGAGCGCAGGTGTAACACACATGTAGCGTGCGTGGGCGCGGGTGTAACACGTATGTAGTGTGTGTGAGCGCGGGTGTAACACATATGTAGTGTTGCCTGCTGTAGGCGGACGTTCGTTCGCTTGTTCGCTCGTACTTCTCGACTTGCAGCGCAGTCTTTCTCTCTTCCAGAAGCAGGTTCTTTGCTCTGAGCTCCTGCTGCACGGCGGCCATCGTCTCCCGCGTCGCACTCAGCTGTTCTGCAGCACCCTGCCAGTAACCAAGACAACAAGGAATCCTTTACACGGCTGCACAGTGAAGTTACTGCTGCATTCCCATCATCGTGTCTCTCCACCGCTAACCCTGCTTCTCTCACACACACAGCCACGTACATGTAACGCTGCTGTCATGTCTGATATCTCAGCAGTGTGTCTCTGCCTCTCCTTCAACCTTTCGTCCCTCACAGAGTTGTACTCTGCCTGCCGCACCTGTAAAACAACAGCAACGTGTGTACCAACGTTGTAAGACGAGGGATCAGGTACGGACAACGGTAATGACTTGGCTCCACCTATCTGTGGTTGAGCACGTGCAGCCGTAGCTCCACCTATCTCCTGTTGTGCGTGCGCAGCCTTGGCGCCATCTGGAAAACCGAAATTCGTATTTCGTGATCGCAGAAATCAAAACCTCATAGAGAATGGCTAACTGAATTCCCCCCCCCCCGATGATAGACAAAACAGTCGAAATGATTCATCTCGACTTTTTGGACGGAATACGATTTATTCCATCTAAGAATGAACCAACAATTACACTTGGATGTAACCAACGTTTGTGAAGCCTGGCAGTGTCTCTACATGATGCAGACACACTTTTGACGAGGTTATCACTCTACAATATTGATATATGTATATATAATGTATATATATATATCAGTACGTATATACAAATACATACAGCTCCTGCAGTGTTCTCAGTATTGGAGAGTAATTAAAATCAAGTAAAAAACGAAAGAGTGATTGAACTGAAGGCAGGACATTTATTCGTGATAAACTAGTTTCAACCAGTTGGTGGAACGACGCTACGATCAACGTATCGACGGTCACCGGTACCTGTGCAAGCGATGCTGCTGACTGGGAGGAGAACACCTGCGGCTGGTAGCGTAGTAGACCCGCTGGTGGCTGGTGGGCAGGCGGTCGAGGCAGGGCAAGCCGGCAGCACGCTATCCTGTACATACAGCAACGACGCAAGCATCAACGTACGCGCACGCTGCCGCCACGGAGACGCTTCGTTGACCGGCGTGGTGATGTCACCAAACAGGTGCGTCACGTTAATTTAACGTGAATTTAACGTAAATTTAATGTGAATTAAAAATAATAATTCGAGATAAACGACTTCAAACATCATACCGTTTGTTGTCACCGAGCACAGAGTTGAAATCGCGAAAACGCGAGCTCTAGACATAGACGGGCGCCAGTAGCACGAACTGCTGGGTGTGGAGAGGATTCGTATGACCTACCCAGGGGATACAGAGCTGTGGTGGCGGTCCAGGCAGTGCGGCTAGGTAGATTGGTGGTAGGTTATCGAGTGGACAGCCAATCCTCAACGCTGCCATGTGCTGATCAAAGTCATGCTGTAACGACACAATAATGAGTGAGGAGACGACAGGAATCATAGCAGCATAACTCACACATACCAACATACACGCAGCATGTGTGCGTACATGTGTGTACACGTGTGCATCCATGCAGGTGTGTACACGTGCGTGCGTGCGTACGTGTAGGTGTGTGTAGGTGTGTAGGTGTGTAGGTGTGTAGGTGTGTGTGTGTGTGTGTGTGTGTGTGTGTAGCGTGTCGTGCGGTGTACGCTGAGCGTGGTGCATGCGACTGTGTGGTGTGCTATGCCATTCATACTCGGCGTGTATGGATACTCGCGTGTATGCATGTTGTTTGCGAGGGGTGTTCAAGTGTGCGCGGTGTGCGTGCGTGCATGAACATCCATAGCGGTGCAGGGTTTCGTTCTGAGGAAAAAATTGACAAAGGAGGTAATGCGCGCATTGGACCAGTTTGGTTAAGAAAAAATGCGCCTATGATGGATTCAAAGGCGTGCTGTAGGCCACATGGCAAATGCTAAATATGCCAGAAGTCTACGTGGTGTTCTATTGTATTTTTGGGGTTTGACACTATTTTTAAACAACGGCGGGTAAGTTACAGGACATTTTCCACACGATGAAGTAAAATTTGACTAACGGCTGGTGCCCACTGTGCCTCTATATGTGTATAAGAATTAAAACCCCCTGGTGTGTGTGTACCTGCACTTTCGTCATCTGGGCGTGGATACTGTTCACCACCTGTTTACATTCTGCATTAACCTGCTCTATCCGCTGCAACATCGAATACGGAATCGCAAGCTTCTTCAGCCTGTCGAATATAAACAACAAACATGTGCCATGATACATGCGATATGGGCACGATGTGGCATGTAGGATACAGGCATGAGACAAGGTCGCGTCATGATGTGGGGCGTGGGAAGAGCGCGTGACGTGTGCTGCTGGCACGTGATGAGGGATGTGTGAGCGGGATGTGTGAGCGTGACGCGGCCGTGGGAAGAGCGCGTGATGTGTGCTGCTGGCACGTGATGAGGGATGCGTGAGCGGGATGTGTGAGCGTGACGCGGCCGTGGGAAGAGCGCGTGATGTGTGCTGCTGGCACGTGATGAGGGATGTGTGAGCGGGATGTGTGAGCGTGACGCGGCCGTGGGAAGAGCGCGTGATGTGGGAGCGTGACGGT